ATTTCTCAGGCATATTTACAAATGGTGAATGATTAATCATAATTAATCCAGAGCTACCCTGTGATTAATCTGATTAAAAATTTAAATTGTTTGACAGCAATATCAGACATGCAAAATAAAGGTTGAGCTTGCATCGTTATTTCTATGTATCCGGCATATGTGACCCTGTTCATGTGAAAATTATCAATGTATGTTAGAATAGTGTCCGGACAAAGACACTATGGTTTACAGTTTACATTCAATATATACGAGTTGAATAGTTAGCATTTTTTGTTATTGGGTAATTAATATGCTCCCGCAATTTTGCAGTATCCTCATAGTAATGTCACTCTGATGCCAAACTTTCATTTGTTGTTTAGATATTGTGTCTTTATTGTGAATATTTAATCCAATATCTGTCCTTATGAGTAAATATTATATCAGACATTTAAAATAAAGGTTGAGCTTGCGTCATTAATTTTGTGTTTCTTACATATGTGACCCACTTCATGTGAAAATTATTAATGTATGTTAAAACTGTCATACATATTTCATCCAATATCTGTACATATTGCTTTGTAATTACTTGGATTTTTTATATGGGGCTATGGTGTAATCTGATACGGAATCTTGGATCATCATTATCTGTGCTGCTTATATTGCTGGTAATGCAAAAAAGCTGCAAATCACCTTGCAGAATGCACCCACACCCAACTGCAGCGCACTCCAGAGGCTCCTATTTTAAATGAAATGTAATCTTCATCCTTGGCGATTTTAATCACTGCAAACTGGAGGTGGCATTACCTGGTTTTCACCCATATTAAAATGTGAAGTTCTCTACTATGGACCATCAAGGCAGAGCTGATGAGCTCAATTAGTTTTTCGTCAGGTTTGAGAGTCGGAAGGGAACTGAGGTCAGAAGGGAACTGAGGCCTTAGACGCCATAACTGCCTATGACGCTTCCCACTGTCTGATGATTGAACCACAGCAGGTGCAATGCATTTTTAGCAGAGTCTATCATAAGAGATCTACAGGTCCTGATGGCCTGCCTGCCATCCTTCTAAAGAGCTGTACATTGGAACTCACTGCTGCTTGGTGTTCTATTTTTTCCCTATTTTACCAAGACAGTCACATTGTCCCTGCTTGCTAGAAGAAATCTTTTATCATTCCTGTGCCAAAAACATCATGTTCGGCTGCT